AACGAACCTTTATTGTTTTGTTATATATTCTATAATAACCGATACCGAGACATTTCCAATACACTAGTTTCAAATCAATTTTTGATAAGTATTTTCAAAGTTATGAGTCCTCAAAGTTTAATTCAATTCTTTAAAAACGTGCTATAAGAATTTCTTACATTTGTATGATTTTAATACGTCGGCTTTTATTGTCAATCTGTTGTCAAGTCTATTTTCTACAAATATTGATTGTATTTAAATTTGGTTTTAGTTTCATGTAATTGGTTCATGTAATATTTTACATGACTTTTACTTTGTAACTACTTACGTAGCATACTCAGCGACGGAAATAATTATGCGCAAACAACAATCTGGCTATATGCTCGATTTTTTTACTGATTGCTTAAAAACTAATCGTATACTAATACGCAACTAAATACACAGTAATACTTTTCTTTAATTGCATATTTATTACTATCAAGATTTTCTATTCTTTTTGAGCTTTCCTATCAGCTTAATGTGTAATTTAATTAAACAAATGTATATAAGTTTTTAATATAACACACTATAAGTGCAATGTTTTTAACACAACCATCTTGTATAATTTACCCGAAAAAAATTATTTTTTCAAAAAAAAGTACAAAGAGCGCCAAGTACACGCGCAACTTGTATCTTTAAAAAGTATTATTATATTAATGAGCTACATAAAAATTCTTGCTCTACAAAATCTATTCTAGAAAAAAAATGTCAATAAGTAGCGTTATGTAAATATTGCACATTTATACATTGTATCAAAATAAAATATTAGAAAACTATAACAATAGCTTTGCGTGAAAACTCTTAAATCATGTCAAATTATACTATAAATTTCTATAAATTTCTTTTTATGTAAAAAATCGAAAAGTTCCATATAGAACTATCAAAATACAAAATATTTAATGCAAAAAAACTTTGTGCATCTGCATCAAAAATTATAGTAAACTACAGTTCATTCTGATGTATAGGGTTTGATACAGCCGCGCCAAAATTTTGTAATGTAGTAAGTTATTTATTTTGCAATAATATCTAGCGTTTAGGCATTCACTGACTGTTTTGCGTTGGTAGTTTTACACTTCACAATACTTTACTTTTCTGTAACCTTTAAAGGATCGGAAGCTCCTTTAAACTTTGAATCGTTTTAGATAATGTTTTGGAAGGTGTAATGTTTGCAGCTCTTAATTAGCTTAAAAATGTTGTAATTTATGTCCGTACATATATTAGTGAGTAGAGTGGATACAGGAAAACGAGCGAAAGCAACGCTGCTCTTAGCCGAAGCGCACACTATAAGTATTCCGGCGCACACGTTTCTCGACAAACGTATCGTGCACGAGACATTGTGTAAAAAAGTGTTTTATTGAGTGGACATAATTTACTGCTCTAAAAAACATCAGAATTGTTCATCAATATTTAAGTACAAGTAGCATGTTCCGTAAATTTAATAACACAATAAAACAAAATGTGTAACAATCAATGAAATATTTTTTGATGATTCTTTCTGAAAGTATTCACAATAATTTTTTATTACATACCGCGTTGCAATGCAGATGTAATATGAAAAAGTAATTTGAATAGCCTTGACATGTAAATGATACGAAAACATATAATGCATTTTTATCAAGTTTTGCCCTATAATTGTAGTATAAAACTGTTTTTACATATGTAAATTGTAAACTGTTTACTCTACAATGTTGTTTGACAATTATTCTAACTACATCTAATGCTATTTAGTTAAAAAAAAAAACCAAAAATAAGAAATGTCATATTTTTTTGAACTGGAAACCCCTTTAGGAAACCGACAATGGCGTCATCTTTCGTGCCACTCACCTCCATGACATTGACAAAAAAGTTCTAGCTCTTAAAATAAAAAAGGCCATCATAAACATGTCAGTTTTCAGAATATTAAATATAGATTTTTTTATTACACTAACACAAAAACTGTGTTTGATTATGTATTGTAAAGTGTACCGAAAACATTATTTTTTCAAAAAACTGGCGCCATGTACACGCTCCACACGTACCTCTAAAAAAAGTATTATTATATTAGTATACTACATAGAAACTTTTTCTCTAAAAAATTTCGTCTACAAAAAAAATGATATTAGAAAGTAGCGCAAAAGAAATCTTGTATGAGTATACATTGTTACAAAATGAAATAATAGAAAACGGCCAAAAGTCAAAAACCTATGTAGAAGTGTTTTCAAAATAAAAGTTATATAATGCAAATTACGTGTCGCGGCTGCACCGAAAGGTATATTGAACTAAAATTCAGTCTGATGTGATAGCTACTCAAAAGCTTTTTTTTTATTAAGCATACAATTATGGGGTACTTTTACTTCACCGACAATCATTTCATCAATAATCGTTTCATTGACACCATTTCATCGACACCGCATTTCACCGACAATAGTTACTTACCGACACGTTTCGATCACCGACAATGTTTTCATCGACATCGAGCTTCGTCGACAATGTTTATGATAACAAATAAACATTTAAGGTGAATTATTACAGAAATTGACAGTAATACGTTTATTTCATTACTTTTTTATTGTGTTTGAAAAAAAATCGGTAAACATATACAGACATAAATTTTGTGAAGGCACTAGCACATAACTTGCAAATGTAACGATTCAGTTCTTGATGTTTACACTGTCGATTAAAGTTATATTGAGTTAATGTATCTAATGATTTATGTTAGACAATTTATTAATTATGTATTCATGAAGTAAGATGTCATATATTGTAAAATGTTATAATTATATTGATATTAATCATTAATAAAACACAATATTATTTTATGTCCTAATTTAAATAATAAAATAAAAAAAGCAATGAAATAAAAGTATTATGACAATTTCTATAATACTTTATATTATATGTTCATTTTTTATCATACACATTGTTGGCGAAGCTCGATGTCGATGAAAACATTGTCGGTGAAATAATATTCGGTGATCTAAACGTGTCAATAAATAAATATTGCCGGCATAATGCTGTGTCGATAAAATGGTGGTTGTGAAACGATTACTGATAAAATGATTGTCGGTGCAGTAAAAATAACCCACAATTTTAAAGTATGTACTTTTCAAACTTTTTCGATAAAATAACATTATTTTTTTTGACAAAAATCATCTAACGATACTTCTCAAAAATATCGAAAATTACTTGAATACTCTATTAAATACTATTTAAATAATAAATTACTTTTATAATTATTGCTACATTTGAAGAGCTATGCAAATTGATTTATTATGAAATTAAACTTCCATATGTGAANTGAATAGCTTGCGTGTAAATTTTCTTGGCGCTACTTTCTGAAATCATTTTTGTGTAGACTAGATTTTGTAGAGTAGGAGTTTCTATGTAGTATAATAATATACTAATAATTTTTTTAGAGATACATGTGGCGCGTGTACTCGGTGCCTATTTTTATCTTTTTTTTTAAAAAGTAAAAATGTCACTTTGTTTATAGAATTTATTACGAATATTCATTTTGTATATGTTTCCTAAATTGTTTTACTTAANTGTTTACCGTTTACTTAAGTATTGTATATATATTATTTTTCAAATTCTATAAAATATAAGTTTGAAAATGATGATTAGAATTGTTAATACGTTTATCTGGATTCTTTTCTTTCGAGAAAAAAATNCGGAGAAATTTGGTATCGATGATTTAGTGTTTCTGAAGTGCATCGTATTGTCTATAGTATTACGTGAAATGAAAATAAAATTATATAATTATGTATTTGTATACTACAATAATGTAGTAATTAATATACATATCGTGGATAGACAATTACCGCCAAGTGTATACAAATTTAATTATAAAAACCATTGTACTACAAAATGTTTAAATGTATATAGTAGTATAGTAATTCTAAAATAGCTACTGTGCTCACTAAATTTTTAATATTAAAATTATTTGAATAATAATAATATTAAGTTATTTACTTTAATTCTATTATATACACTGTNTTCAACAATAAAGAAAAAAATACATACTATCCATTTCATGTAAACGCTTCAAGATCAATCAATTTTTTTTAAAGGAAATGATTGTATAGTACTATGTTTATACACCCATATTGATGCAATTTTAGTAATCGACTATAGAAAGTGTTCACAAATATATCACATAAATATATCACCTTAGGTATTTTATATATTGTTTTGAAGATGTGAGAAATAGGTGTAGTTTATTTATTATCATTAAACTTATAAGCTTCACTTGTACGTTTGCTACAATGGTTTATTTTATTATACTACTTTACATGACGATATATAATATTATAGAATATGTTACAAGTAGCATTGTATATATATATATAGATACTTATACAATGTAATAAGACAATAAGTATACATGTATGTGTTTTCGAATAATCAAAAATCTTTATAAAAATTAAGCAAAATATATATAGAAAGTAAATACAATATATAGGCAATATGCAATATTACTTGTATATATAAAATATAAAACTGTTTTGTGTAAAACATGTAAGAATATCACAGTATTACATTAATTTTATATTTTTTATGACTTATGAGAAAATAGTGCATATATATATAATACGTTAATTATTTTCTATGTATAATCTTTGAGAATTTAATACATTTAAATGTATTCAATTATACAAATATGTATATTTATATGTATATATATTTATATATTTTGTATATATATGTAGATATATACAATGTATATATAATTATATATTTATATATTTTTATAAATACATACATTCACCACATAAAATATATTACAATATTAAATTAATAGCAATATTACATATAAAAGTAATATTACATATTGTCTATACATTCTATTTACTTTTTACATATTGTCAAACAATATATTTTACGTAATAATAGAATTTATAAACTTTTCTAAACCCTATTACTTTTAGTTTCTACGTAAAATCTGAATAATTTTTTCATATAAGCATGCATGTGCTACACTATATGATTAATGTACACTTCTATGAACACTTGTCACGTTTATATTTATATTTGACAATCGAATGGCTATTGCANAATACCAGGTCGATATACATCCTCTTTCTTTTCTTTGTCATAAATGGAGGTCAATTTGGATTTACGGTTCCGAGACTTAACATATGCTGCAGTACATACTGAACAGTCGTGTTGCAGTGCCACACTTGAATGAACNGGAAGTACATGAGAAACAAAGAAATTATATTCTTCATCACATATTGCACATGAATATGGCCATGCCGATTGAACAGATCGATGTTTATCTAACTTCTCTTTATCTTCTTCATAAGTATTATTGTGTACCGAATGAACAAATCGACGATCATCTACCTTCATCTTCTGTTCGTCATAAGTATTTGGCCGTTCCAAAAACACAGATTGATGGTCGTTTACCTCCTCCTTTTCTTTGTAAGTATTGTCACTCATCTTCAAAAAAAATGTAATAAACATTTATACAAATATATAATGAAAGAAATAATAAGATCNTTAAGAAGTATACATTAAATGTACGTGCTATAAATACTTTTTAACGTGTAAAGTACTACAAAGTGTAAAACAAATCAATTCGAAAATTAACAACACAGTTTTAGTATACATTTTATATAAGAACAACGTTAATTTCCGCTTATATAAGTAAACATTAAGTGCAAATACTTTTTTGGAACTAATTTGAATTCGACATTGTGTATTTATTTGTACACTAAAAACTTTTTTGCACGTACAATTAGCGTTTGGCTTTTACTTTTTGATCTTATTATTTTTCTTATTACACTTAAATATCAGGAAAACAGTTTATGATCAATGTAAAATTGTATGTAATTGTTATAATGTCACTGTTATTACACAGTCTGTTATTATTACTATAGTCCAGAAACTTTATTTTTATTTTTCTAACGTACGTCGCAAGGTTTATTAAAATGCAGTATTTCGTGATGATGCATCAAGTCTTGAAAACAACTATATTCTGGTTCGGGCTTACATATAGTACATCTAAACATGTTTGACGTCATAGATTTATGAACATTTTGATGAACTTTGTATTCGTGCATTGTAAAAAAATGGTTGTTACAAGCCTTCAAAATAAAACATTATAGATTAGTAACACGCTACATGTTATGTTGATAATTGTTTTTTTACATATCTTTAAAAAACTTGCCCAGCAAAACTTAACAACGTAAGAATGTTTATGTATTGCATGATCCTTTAGGAGTTGAAGACTACTAGATGTAAAAACACATTTATTACATACATATGTATTATTTTTTTTGTGATACGTTTTATAATGAANTAACAAGGATGCTTTATTTTCGCACACGGCATCACATATCTAAAGTAGAAGAATTATATATACATCTGTGATTTTACAAATCGTTATTTTGTTTTGTTTTTAAATACATTTGTAGAGAAAACATATGTCATATACTCACCTTGCAACTCGTACCTGAATGCTTTGTTTTGTGATGNAAAACGAGATGAACAAAGCTTTGAAAATTCTGTTGTTTACATAAAGCACATGCATACATATTTGACATCGGGAATTTATGAACTTTTTTATGATTGTTGTATTCGGAATTTGTATAAAAATATTTATTACATATCTAAAAAATAAAACAGTTTAGATTAACACGCTATAAAGTATTTTAATAATTGTGTTCATACATATCTTTGAAANNCTTGCCACGCAATAGTCCACGACNNGGTCNTTTCTCGCATGATGCTTTAAATTTTGAGAAAGGTTAGTTGTATAATCACACTTACTATATACGTATGTATTAGTTTGTCTATGATGGGTTTGATAATGCTCNCACAANAATGTGGTATTTNCAAAAAACAAATTACATATCTGAAAGATAATAAATATGCCTGTGATCTTATAAATCGGTTTATACTTTGTTTATAAATATATTTGTAGAAAGAAAACATCTTACTTCGCATTGATACTGCTTGTCACTACATGTAGGTGCTTCTCTCGTCAAGTCAGTTGAATATGCCATTGTATATCTGCTTTATAGTACGATGATAAAAAACACAGTTTGTGACACTAGAGTATAACCGATTTAATATCTATTGCACTTGTTGTAAAAGTATTTACCACCTTTGATAAAAAGTCCTGTAATAAAGGGAATACCGATACGTAGCTATAAGAAGTCAAATAGCAACTGAGAATTTGAATTTGACATTGCTGCGAAAGCAAAGTAAAACGTAAACAAGAGACGTAGTCGTGCGATCGTATTTATATGACTCTTTTCACATGAGTATAAATGATAATGACGGTTTGACTTGAATGTAAAACATTTTAATAGAAATGTTGTCACTTTTGTTGTACAATTTGTAACAAATACTTATTTTGTGTATTTTATAAAACTGTTTTAACATTTTGTTCTTTAAGGTTTATTTAAGTATTATATATATAATACATATAAAATATATGTAAATATAAATAATTTATATTTATATTATTTCTGTCTTACATAAAATATAAGTTTGTAAACAGTATTCAGACTTGTTACTCTCTCTTTCTCTGTATCTTTCTCATTCGAAAGAAAATTCTGAAGAAATATGTTTTCGGTAGGTTTTCCGAATTGCAAAGCATTAGCAATAGTAGTCACGTGATATGAAAATAGAATGAAATAAAAATATATTTTTATATGACAATAAAACGTAGTAATTAATAAATTTATAAAGTAGACAAGTAATTCAGAAAACGAATAAACAAATGCAGAACAATCAGACTCCGGCAATACTTCCGACCGTGGTGGGCGCAGAGCAGTCCATCGTGACTTGCTGGTTTCTCACTGGCAACACCTCTAAGATAACTGTTTTGAAACGTGGCGCCGTTGCTCTTCAACAAAAATATAAAAAATATTTAGAATGTAAAAAAACTTAGTGCGGCTGCTTTTTAACGATAATGAAATTATTTCTTTGTGCGATAATTTGATGCAATCGCGCCAAGTTTTTTTGCATTAAATATTTTAAAAATACAGGTTTTTTTTTATGTCGTCTATTCAGTTTGCAAGATTGTCACCATTGTCATTATTAAATATTTTTTAAACATAGTTTTTCTTTTGAAGTCGTTTATTAATTTTGCAAGAGTGTCACCAGTGTACTTATTGTCATTATTGTTACTGCAACTATTGTCCGCTGTTGTTAAGACTGCTGATAATGGGCCTGCTTGGCTCCGCTTCTCTGTGGGCGAGAGCTGCTGCTCATCGCAACCTCTCGTTGCACCGATGAAGTTATTTCTTACGATTAAAACGCGAGGATCAAGGTTCAATTTAAACAAAATAGATGTATTTTTTTTTTAGGATGATTTTTTATATGGCGATGTTTTTGTATTCGAGTTTCATGTTCGAAAGTCACTTTTTAAGTTTAGTTATTATTTGATTTTGTAATATCTGAAAGATAAGTGCCGAGGGAAGAAGCAATCTTCTGATCGAATAGTGACCGCGATTAAAATCGTAACTTGCTCTTTCGGTCAGAGTCAATCTGTGAAAAGAAAACAATCTCTTAATCAGCTACTTTCTGCGATTGTTGCCGCGAACTGCTCCTTCGATCAAATCTCGTCGACAGAGAGAAAAAGAAAGATGCAAAATTGAAAAATTAAATTTATTTGTCACTCGTAATAATGCTTAGTAACTTTTGTACAAAATAATAATTAATGAAGAAATAATGTAACTCGGTTTTACGATAGTGTGTGTTCAAATATTACCTTGATACCAGAGTAAGTTCTCGCGATTGGTGGAACGTCTGTAATAATAATCATAATTGCTAAGACTTACTATTTACTTGAGGTGCGGATAGTCTTCTCTTAAATTAGGGCCTGTACGGCTTTGGTGATAGGTGTTTGGCGGTTTGCAAGTGATTGACTTAAACTCACGTTAAACTTCTTTTGAATAACTTTGATTCAGGCATCGAGTTGTTCCTTTTATGTAAAACTTTTGAAAGAATGAGAACTTCTTGGACTTGCAGGGCTCTTCCAATTGTAGCGGAAGATTTGGGGATCTTTCTCCGCCAAGTACCGCTGTTTGAAATTTTATTTGTTAATTAGTTGTGGAGTTTGTCGGATCGCTAATTTTCGAATGATCACCTCACCTTGGACGATTTAATCGATTTTTTTGGAGAAGGAAAAAGGGAGAGTATTGGATGTTTCCAAGATAACAAATCAACTTTAAACAATGAGTATGTGTAAAACGGTCAATTATAAGAATTAAAAATTCTTAATAAAAAACTCAAAATTTTGCATTTTTTACACTTGTGTTCAGTATCAAGATGGTGTGTGATTACTGAGAGATTATCAACGTGATTAGGAATCTGATTCTTGTGCTTATTGATTTTTGTCGATAAATTTCTCTTGTTCTGTCTCACATATATCACATCACAGTTATTACACTCATTGCAATACACTACATTTTTAATTTGGTCTAAAGCGAGTGAGTCTTTGAGAACTCTAATAGTGTTGCTAAGTTAATTTAAACTTCGGAACGCAAATAAAATTTTTAAAATACTGTATATGCAACTTTAAAATATTTCACGTTATAGAATAATATTTCCGGAAATTATTTTGACTTGACTACATTTTTTGTATATAAAAAAAGTATTTGTTTCAAATCGGTCCTGATTTATAACACGATCAATTGTATTAAATAAATTTTCTTGCAGTTGCTTCATATTGTCCGAAGCTGGAAATCTACCAGCGATGCCGGATATGACAATTTCTTCAGAATCGATATCACTTAAATTATACTTATGTTCACTGTTCATAAGTACCTCTTTATTTAAACTAAAACAAAATAATAGAATAATGCATTTAATAATAATATTAGTAAGCATTTTGTATATAAACAAATATGAATAATAGAAATTTTATTTTGAGTAGAAACAAAACATTGCAATGCAATATATCTAATACTACTCAAACTTAATTTTATATATAAGCAAATGTATTTAATTTACATATAATTAAATGTGTTTAAAGTAAAAGTTATCTATCTTACGACAAAACTTAGAAATGCAATACTTACCTTTTTTTTTAACTATTTTTTTCTGGTATTTGTGCAGTAGCAAAAAATCGTATTTCCAACTGAGAAGAAAAATAACTGAATAGTAAAATAACTTATAGCGCTTTTTTATACTTCCGATTATAATAAGATAAAAATAAACTGTAGTGACAAGTCGAGAAAAGCTTCCTTTCGACTAGCACATGTCGTCCTTCGTCAGCAATTCGACTTGTATATCGATCAATAATAACAATAATAATTTAAATTTTGAAATCTTGCAATTCAAATTATCAGGAGTCATTGCGCATAATCAAGAGCTACTTCGTTGCGCGTGAACTTAGCGCGAGAAACTACCTTGATTATGCGCAATGACTTATGCGGAAGTGCCTCGCGCTAAGTTCACGCGCAACGAAATGACGCACGAACTACGCTTCACGCCCGTGTTATACGCGAAAATCAGGTTTTGAAAAGCAGTGTGTAAAAATAAATATTTATATCTCAATAACGTCTGAACTAATTGATTTTGTTTTAGTCTCAATTTATTCGGATAAAAAACTAAAGAAAACAGTGTTTATTAATGTGTTTTTTTTTGTCCGTGTCTTCTGTTCAAGAATATTGAAAATTTTTTTTTATATATAAAATTCTATCATGTTCGGATTTCGTAGTCATAAACCAAGTTTTGTAAAGAAAGAATATATAAATAGTAAAATTATTTTTGTTTTATATTGTTTGTTTTTGTTTTGTTTTATAAGGTTACCAAAAATCTTATCAATTCATGTTACGCGATTAAGTATCTTCAAAAAATTATAATGGTTTTCAATGTATTATATATCATTAAAAATAATCAATACAAAAGGTGATCGATACATAGTCTCTAAAACACATACTCTCTGCATCGAATAAATAGAATAATAAACCAATAACGTGTATAAAGATATTTTCAAAATAAATTTATTAAATACAGTATAAAATATGCCGTTTCCTATAGAAGATATTATATTCCAACATGATCGGGATCCGAAACACACCGCAAAAAGTATACAACAGTGGCTAAAAGCACAAAAATTTTCT